CCTGCACCTTTCTCATCTTAATTGCAAGTTTCAAAAAAATCACTTTCAGCCGGCGATAAAGATTATTCTAGGCGATATTCATATGCTTCAGCAGGGACTTGTGAATTATCTTCATCAGCCTTATTGAATTCAATATTATTGCATGAAGGATGACACCGAATGTAGTTGTGGAGAGTAATTCTAGCGACCACAATTTGCACATGTTTACGAAATAGATAAGTCGACATATCTTGTTAAATAACTCATTTTTTCTTTCAAACTCTGAATGACATTTCAATGACACCGCATAAAGATGAGTGTCTCTTGTTAAACATTTCTTTCCTACCCTGAGTGTCATTGTTAGCTCTTTCAAAATCATGAATGTGGTATTTAGTATTAATAAATGATTCAAGTAATCCTCTTTGTAAAGGTTATCTAACATTGGCCAAATAAAATTTATCTAACATAAATATAATACTTAGTATTGCAATGAAAATTCTTTCTTATTTGTTCAAAATCAAACAAACATGGGTTGAGCACGAAAAGTTGTATTTCTGAGTTCTTGTGGAAAATTTGAATATGCGGTTATTGTATGCTCTACCTTCTCAATTGGCCATATCAAAAGTAAAACACATGTTAAAGTCACAGACAACCATGACATTCTGTGTTGATGATCTGCATTGCCCGATGAATGTGAATTTCTCATTATTCAACACGTGCATCCATGTGTGTTCTATCGATCACTTTAATACAATCCTAAATCATTTAACAAGGATATCTGAATTAATATGTTCATTTGAAATTAGAAAAATATGAATTAATTGAATTACCATAAAAAAATGACATATACCGTTGTTCCAGTAAAATCTCATTGGGGGTCCTTTAGAATGTTGAGTCCTTGTGTTTGATAACTTTTTATGATAAACTGACCAAAACATTCAACCTAATTGAAAAATATATAATGATTGTTCCAGATGAGTATTGCAATCGTTTCATGGTTTATCTCATAAAATCATTTTGTGATAAAATATAAAGTGTTATAACTACCACCTCTCTGGAAGTCATCCTAGTGGAGCCATGAAGTCCATAATTTTGATGTAGTTTTTTTAAAAGATTGATGTATACGAGCTGTGTCATAAGAAACTTATTATTAAAGAATGATACTTTATTTCCTCCAATAGATTTACATTAAAACCATTGTCATGTCATTGCTAATGTACCAGTTGAGGTGGAATTAATCAGTATATTATTTAATCAGCTTGTTTTGTTTCAAATTTGATTATTAATAATTTTAATTATTTGTTTCCAACATCTTACAAGTTGATTTAAAATTTCAATGAGTATAAATTGTATTAAGAAAATGGATTATGGTGAGATCACTTAAAAAAATTTTACTTCTATATGGTCAAATAAAAAGGGGCAATGTCGATGCATCATTATCATTTGAAAGATTTAAAACCCCATCCTCAATTTATACTTATGAAAACTCATATTTTCTTCAATTAAAAAGATACATAGATAATTAGCTATCAGGTTTCTAATATGACTCCATGAAACAAATTTATCATGGAGCCAAAATTTTCACATTTTGTCATTGGGATGCTTGATCTCAAGCATGACAATGAATACTTCAAAAATAAAAAGAAAAATGTTTTTAGCATTATTGAATCCAAATTTGTCCTTTGAACTGTGCCCAAGGAAAAGAGTCGAATTTCGAGGGGAGGAGAAGGTAAGGGAGAGAAAGAGAGAGGGTTGCCTCATCGGGGGTGTTGACCTGATTTTTGGTGAGGTCTGTTTCCCTTTCTAGGGCATAGGATCTAGCCTTAGGACTTTGCATCGGACAATTAGAAAATTCAAGTCACTTCTAAGAACCCACACCAATAAGAATACATTTTGTACCCCTAGTAAAGTAGATACAACTGAGAGTATTTTGGTCAATACATAATTATAAGGTCAGAAGTCTGAGATGACATCTGGTTGGGTAGACCAAGGAACCTGACACGGGCACAACCGGATTTTGAGCCGGGCGGCCACACGTCGGGAGCCTAATAGAATGACCTATTGGGTCATTACCAGGGTGATGGTGGTCGAAGGGTGAACAGGAGGTTCCAAACAACTGCATTATATCCGGGTGGATTTCATCATTTGCCCGCATAGTTGAGGAATGCCTACGAATTCATCAACATAATCTCGAAATAGAGACATGTCAAAACGCGAAAACTTAGAACAGAGTTGGCAAGGCACTTACAATTCCTTAATTACAAAACTTACTCATGCATCCATTCACATTGATACCAAGCAAGAACATTCATCAAAGAGTACAAATGCAATGCTCTTTTAAGTCATATATGTACAACGATTTGAATATCTCAATAAGAATTTGCGAGGCATTCTGCTACTTATGAAAAGAAAAAGGAAAAACTCATGATGAATTAGTTACAAATTGGGATCTCTGAACTTGCTTCTCTTCCTTCCAAACTTCGACCATTCTTTGTATGAATTCCTCCGCCCTCCTCCTCAATTGCTCCCCAACCTCCTCTTCTTCGTCTTCCTCCACTCTGTCTTCTTTCTTAAAGTCGCCGATAATGACCTCAATTTCATCTTGGTCCATAATTTCCTTCTCATGCTTCTCAGTTTCCTCATCATCATCGACATTGCAGGCTGTCTCTTTCAGTTCACCGTCGTCTCTCGAAGCTGCTGTTCCACGGCCAAAATTGGGCAGTAGAAGAAGAGCAACGATGAAATTGCAGAGACAGAAAACACCAAAAGACTCGGTTTCAAATATGGAGGAAAGCTCCATAATATGATGAAACATGTTTTTTCTCTTTTAAGAGGTTTTGGAAAGCTTAGCTACATCAGCTTCTTTCTTTGGGGGCTTATATAGCCTTCCGTAGCTTAAAAGTGTATGGAGGAAGACTTGATCTCACTTAATTAATTAAGAAAAAAAATATATCATACATATTCTGTAGAGTTTATACTTAGTCCACGAGTGATTGAGAGCTGACTTGGTCAGAACTTCTAAGGCAAGTAAACGGTGCTACTAAACTGCTGTGTTTGTTGGAACGAATTGAAATTTTAATTTTATTTTGAGTTGATTTTAAGTTTAGTATAAGTTTAAAAGATCTCTAGCGATTTCGAATTTTTTCTCAGCCAAATTTTGATGCGAGATACAAAATAATATAATATAAGGACGTTAGAATACAAAAGTGCGTAATATTAAGTATTAATGATATATTAATATTTAAAATTAAATACAGGTGATTTCGAGTGGACTGGATATGAAGTAACTTTTAGTTGATCCTGCTGATTTGACTCAAATTAGTTTTGATTTTGAGATCAATTTGAGTAAAAAATATGAAGTTATTTTAAAACAAGAGAAATTTGCATGTGAGTATGATAGACATAATTATTGATGCATCACCAAAAATATATAGTTTTATCAAATTTGAATCTTGAGATTGGAAGCATCAATATCAAATTAAGGTCCCCTCTTCTGATCATATTCTTATACATCTCCATTTCATTTAATGAAAAATTCATCTTCTTTGTGAATATTTTATTTTGATTGTCTGAGAACCCGATACCAAATTTATCTGTATCATATTCAATAAAGGTGCACCTAAAAAGTTTTGAGTCAAGCTTACTCTTGGACCCATCATCAATATATATTTCAATTATAAGCATGCCATATTATATATTACATGTAAGATCTCAAATTCAAGATCAAGAGGTGCCATCGGTTCCATCACTAATATTACTATGTACTATAATCACACAATAATTTATGTAATTTACATTTAATATTTCTCTATTAGAGGAGTGCTTTCTCATGGAGGAGATTTTGTCGTTTGCATGATTCGATTCGCTCAAAGTTCTTGGGTTGCTCAAGCTGCATGGAGCTAGATACGATCAATCACGCAACAAGTTGGATATGGGCAATTTGGGATAGTTTACAACGGCCTTGTTTGAGAGTGCTTTATCATTTTAGGGCGTTTGTTTAAAGGTAAGTTGTGGATGATTAAATATAATCCTCATTGAATACAAACTTTTCTACATGCTTTTCAACACTATGAGCTAAAATAAAAAGTTAATATACCCCTGAAGTTTGAGCCATTATTCTGTGCGGACTTGCGGTTGTGTCCGCTGTTCAATGAGAATTTTTTTTTTAAAAAAATTAAAATTCGGGCCCACTGACATACACTTTTGTTGGTTCACCGTACGCAGTTCTTCGTACTATGAACGTACGTAATAATTTTTCAAGAAGGAAAAAATTTATGTACGTAAAGTAGAGCTACATGCATAATAACCCCTGCTTCAATAAATTTCTCGTTAGCTAGGCACAATGAGAAGTTCAAGGTGAAAAATGAGGATAAAATTATTGAAGTATGTGCGATGGGATGCTTTTTCGTGTTGTGTGAGTGAAATCAAGCCAAACCGGGAGCTTTGGGCAGCACAGGAGCTTCTCCCGCGGTGGAAATGGTGGCCACAGAGGCGGCGGAGGCTATTTTGGATATTTCTATTTTCCACAGGCGGAACACGGGCGGTAGGTTCGAAGCGGTGGAGTTGTCTCGTTCTAAAATGGCTATGAAACACCTTTGTGATTGATGCACCATGGGGGAGGGAAGATGCCAAACAGACTGGAATCATATTTTCACCATTTTGTGGTTGACGCCAAGATTAGCTTCATTAATTGGATTTGAGATCAAATTTGAGTTTGAGCTCAATCCTACAATTATAAATTAACTTACAAATAAATTTATATCTTATGAAAGTAAATTATAATTCTCATTCAAATATTTATTGTAATAAAGCAATTAAAAATTATATTAACAATATTAAATATTAACATGATAGAAGAAAATTATATATAGTTTTTAAATAATTGTAACAATTTTATAATTAAGTTTGTAAATTACATAAATTTTAAATATATTATTTACGCAACGCACGAACGGGTCCGAGCCAACACAATTCGGCTTCTTCTTCTTCCTTCGCCACAAAGCTTCTTCGCGCGGGTCGGCTTCTTCTTCCTTCGCCACAAAGCTTCTTCGCGCGGCCAGAGCACAGCGTGAGCCTTATTACAGGCTTCAGAGAAATCAATTCATCGGTACAGTATAACCATCATGTGGGTCGAAATTCTCTGTGGGATTGTTGTATACAAGATTTTCCGGCGATTCTTGCTTGGCGAGGTTGAAGTCCCCGACTTTGACGCCGGCAGCTCCAACCTCTACTTCGCCGTCGCCAGCAGGTTCTTGAACGCTATTTACGCTGTTATTTTCGCCTGATTGTGAAGTTTACCTCTTGAATCGACTCGTTTCACTTAGGCTTGAGAAGATTTATGGTGGTAAAGCGTATGTCGGACTTAGGATTCCCGATCCGGAGACCAGTTCTAGGCAGCACATCGACGTTGTTCTGGTTACGAAGAGGTTAGGGCTTCTTGGTTCTGTAAAGCCCCCCTTTATTTTTTATCTCAAGCATAATCGGTGAAATAATATTTCTGTCTCAGGGAAGTGATGGTGGTTGCTGTTAGGAACTTCTCGGGTTTTGTGTTGGTCGGAGATGGTGGAGACTGGGTTTGCACTAAAGACAAGAAACATAAGCCCGAAACTTTTCCTGATCCGGTGAGGTTTCCATGTTCAAACATTGCTTCTTTTCCGCATGAAGTTGAACTCATTTCGATAGATTTTTGTTAGAACTCCAGTTAGAACTCCAGAATAGTTTGGATATTTATTATGGTTTTTTTCAAGCAAAATAAAGAGTCCAGATTAACAGGTTTCAGTTAGTAATGTATAAATGTTGGTTCACCCTTTTTTGTTGGGTTTGATTCCTGTCTTGATTTTGCTAATTTATCTGCTTCGTGGTTTCCGAGTTTTTGTTGATTTATACTCTTTGTGGTTTTTCTCTTATTGTGATCTCAAAAGTTCAAACCTACCTCATGTTTTCTTTTTCCAAAATAACATTGCTTAACTTTATTTAATACTTACTCAGCCATAATGGATGTTTGCACACTTATTGATTCCCTACTAATTGCTTTTGAAATATTGTTATTTCTTGGTGTTGGTAAGAGTTGATTTTTAATGTGCCTCTAATGCTAGGTTTTAGAAACTGCAAGGCAAGTTGAAGTTCTTCAGTCTTATTTGGAGCTACGGGGAGTATCTTTACCCAAAGGGTGTTTGAGTGCCAAAGTTATTCTCCCAAATCCAGAGTGCAGGTAAAGCTAGCTAGAACAAGTCTGTAATTTTCACCAGTTAAGCTAAAAATTAACGAAGTAGACTGTCAGTTTGATTCTTCAGGATTTAAATCAAAGGGTGTTTGATTGAAACTATTTTTTCCTTATTAACTATACTTATTTTGCTCTTAAAATCTATGCCTTCTACTCTCTACTCATGTTTCTTTTTGTCATATTTGTAATTACTTTGTAATATGGAAAATACTATAATAGAATACAAGCAATATATTTTATCACAAAATCTTTTATATTTCACCCACCCTTCTTCTCCTCATAGAAAGCATTGGGCTACATAATACATGTTTTTCATTTTGTAATTTTGTATTTTGGCGTCAATTCAATGAAAATTATTCTGAGAACTTCTTACATTCACCAGGCCAGCTTATTCTATTGCTTTTCAGCCGGAGGTTGTTTCTTTTGACAAATGGGTGGGACTAAAATCAGATGTAAAACCTGGGATTTTTTCTTGGATCAAAGATGTTTTCCCTGGGAGCAAATGTGAAGCACAGGATGACTGTTTCCAAAAGCTTCACTTTATTTTAAACACAGCTCCAAAGTGGGACAGGTATTAGATCTAAATTTATCTTGCTATTTTGAGAATGTGTTATTTAAAGCTTCTGTTGTGGAAGGTTTAGGAAGGTTGAAAGCTTTGGCTGTGTTTCTGATTCAAAGCCTTTTCTTGGATAATATGTTTGGCAGTATTTTCCTTGGCTTCTGCTTGTTTGGCCTTTCACTTTAAAACTATGAAATTGCTGTAGACTTCGTTGCATGGAGAACATCCGTGAGAAGTTTTAGTTTCCGGCGATTGATTTTTTTCAATGAAAATTTGAGCTTATTTTAGGCGTTGGTGTGGTGTTGTGGTTCTATGCGAATGATTATTTACTTATTTATTTTTTTGTGGTCTGAGTGGTGCTCTGTTGTTTTGCTGTTTGGACTTATCGAGCAAAAGATGGCTGTTTTCTTTATTTCCTGGTATGGTTGCGCCAATTATTTGTTTTTCAGCTCCTGAAGACTGCAGATGAAGAAAGGAGTATTTCTGATTGATCCATTTTTTTAATTCATAGGATTCTTGAATCAGCAATTTATAAGGAAGTGTTTGTTCCAGAGGTGTGACTGATGGAGTGTTGGCCGATGTTTAGAATTACTGGACATCCAAATTTGGAATTTAAATTAACAAAAAGCTTGAAAGTTGTGATTGATCAGTTTTATTTTTTTTATTTTTTTTTTAAATTTTTTTATTAGTCCCTAGGATTCCTGAATCAACAACTTTTACAGAAGAGTTTGTTTCATACGAGTGCCTGGCTGACGACTGCGTTGGTAGCTTATGTTTAGAATTATTACTAGTCCAAGGGGCCCATCATATATTAACCTATTATTTTGAATTCATGGGGACTGAGTCGAATAATAAGATCATTCATCAACCTTGAAGGCCGGTTTGGATGAAAGAACTGTAATTGATGTACCTTTTAAATTTAAGGAAGGGGTAACAAATTTTGCCCTATACTATATCAAATTATATTATGTATTTTAAACTATCTCTACAATTTAGGGCTTTTACTACTAAGATCAATGAAATTGCAATACTTAGAAATTTGTACGAGGCACTGCATATACTAAAATGGAAGGACATCTTTGGAGAAATGAGTACTCTTAAGAAAGATGTTACCTGGGATGTTATTAATTCTCTAAAACAAGAAAGTCGGCGTTTTATATGAAATGTACACTTAGTAATGAAATTGATGGATACAAAGCATGTTAGTAGCCCTTGTTTTCACTAAAAATTATGGATAGGTACAAGTAAACATTTGCTCCAGTTTCAAAGTTGAATAGTATTCAGAGCTTATTATCTTTACTTGCAAGCCTAAGTAGGGAGCTTACTTAAGTTGCTGTAAATGTGTACAGCAAAAATGCCAACACAAATCTCAATGGATTGAGCGACTACGAGGGAGTATCAGGATAGTGAAGTCCCGTGCAAAAGCGCGGTAAACTCGTCAAGCGGTCTGTCGACCACATGGCAAAATCAACCCACTGATCATTCATCAATTGACCATCAACCGAATGACTGGACGATTTTGATCGATCGATAGTCGATCCCTCAAAGAAACCAATCTAATATATATGGTCGATCGACGTAGCCGATCGAACCCAAAACACCCGATGATCGACACACTTTGTATTTTCTGTATTATAATGTAATTTTCTTTTGACAGACACGTCGATTCTGTTATTTGGGCGGTTATAATAACTGTTTCCTCCTTTTTAAGTAACTGTATTTTGAGACCCTTATAAGTAGGTGGTCATGACTTAAATGAAAGACAACATTCTCTCGCTCTCGACTCTATCTCTCACTCTCATCTCTAACTCTCGGGACGTGTTCACGAGAAGACACTTTAGTATTCAACAGTAAAAAATACCTGTTGAATTGAAAACATGAAATGCAAATTAAGATTCTTTTGAAATTCATTCAACAAAAAAAAAAGTTTGTAAGTCGAACAAATTCCTCTATTTAAAATAATAAACACGAGCTTGGTTCACTAGATACAGCTCTACCATAAGTAGGATACAAATAAGGTTGATCATATATGTTTCTTGAAATTTGGAGTTTAGGGTAACATGTCTATCTAATTATATATGTTGATGATGTTATGATAATATATAAGATCAACAAATGAAAAGAGAAGTTCAAGTAGGAATTTGGGATGAAGGATTTGAGAAATAAATATTTTCGTGGAATGGGATTTGCTAGTAATAACAAATGGTATTTCCCCCCCAAAAAAATATGCTCTTGATATGCTTAAAAATGCAAGATAATTAGGATGTCAATTTTTGGTTTCTCCACTAGAAAAAGATTGTAAGAAAATGGAAATGATGATGAATCAATTATTGATAAAGAATTATATCGGCAATTGGTAGGAAGGCTCATTTATCTATCACAAAATTGACCAAATATTCCATATATAATAAGTGTGGTAAGTTAGTCTATTCATTCCCACACTTAAAAGCATTTGAATTTTATAAATGATTTATTGAAACTCCTTAAATGAATTTGAAAAGAGGCTTAGGGCTGTTTGGTTGGCTGAAAAATGAGTATACTGCATCTGAAATGCAAGGGTTTTGAAAATTTGGCTGTTTAGTTGACTGAAAAAGAAATTCAGTGTAAACTACAATATATTTCAAATGCAACTGGTAGTTCATTTTGAGGATATTTGAAATTTGTTAGATTTGGGTGCTTTTCAAATACATTGCAAATTGTGACGAATGGCGCAATTGTTGTAGCCACCAAGACCATCTACTGTACTTTCGGGCAGTATTTGCCCTCTGACTGTTGTTTGTTGATGAGAGCCATTGCCGCTACCACCCAGTTTTTTGTCGGTCCGCCATTGTCTTCGTCGCCTGTAGTCACCAACAACTGCTAAACTGGCACCTTTCATTCGCATGGTCGAACGCTTGCACTGCTGCAGCTTGCCACCACTGCTAGTATAGGCCTTTCGGCTGTCAGCTAGACGCCAGCACCAGGCTATTGCCCATCAAAGGCAGTTCACCTGCTGGTTATCTGCCTATCTCCTGCCATTGGCCACTAGACATCAACTGTGTTTTATTTTGATTTTATTTTTCTTCATACCAAACAAGAAAATGTGAACTCCTGGATTTCTTTTACCCGTAACTAAATTGCTCTAAAGTATTTCTAATGCACTGCATTTAAATTACAGTAGATTTTTTTTTACACTGCATTGCTTTTTTAGCAAACCAGTAGATCTTTGATGTTTCACAAAATACAAAAGAGAACATAGAAGGATATGCTGATGTGGATTGGGCTGAAAGTGAGGATAACAATTCTACCTCAATTTTTTTTGCACAAAATTGTAGTGGGATATTGTGTCATTTGGAGAAGTAAAGGACAAACACTGGTGTTTAGAAGTAGTGTTAAAGAAGAGTTTTGTGTCATTGTATGAAGGAGCTTGCAAAGTTACTTAGCTAGAAAGATTGGTGGAGGATTTACAAATGCATAATACATCTCCTAGAACCCTATGTAGTGACAACTCATACCCAGTCAATAGTGTAAATAATCTCTTTCAATATGACATCATAAAGCATGTAAAAATTGATCCCTTATATAAAAATAAATAGATTGAAGGGGTGGGATAAAACTATCTTTTGTTCGTACTACCTCAGAGCAAGTTGATGTCCTTAAATAATCCCAAACAAAAGAGCTTTCATAGGTATGCTGAGCAAGTTAAGAATGTTAAATATCTATTCCTTGATTCAATGGGGAGTGTTGGCAAATTTTAAAAAATATTTATTTCTGCATTGAGCTAATTTGGAATACAAGTCAGCAAATCAGGTAAGACTGTAGGCCATTTGAATTCAAAAGTTCACCAAGCAAATTTTATCAGCATGAAAGTGCCCATAACTGAAGGGTAAGTATGGGTAAATTAGAAAATAGTTGTAAACGAGAGATTGAGAATAAAAAAGAAAATAAAACCAAAGTTCTTCTGGTTTGGCTTATGTCTACACCCATAACTACATAAAGATCAAATAATTCAATAAGTTTTAAAAATATATATATGAAGAATTTTAAATCATATAAAATTAGTGATATGATAGAGATCTCATTTTGTTTATTTGAGAGATAGTGGTCACCTATTTCAAAGTGAGAGAGACATTTTTTTTTTCTATAACAATTTGAAGAACATCACTTTCAACTTGCAAGCACTTGAAGGACTCTTCTTGGATAACAACTATTTTTTCTCTGTTCTTCTCCTCTCTTTATTGCTTCTCCTTGTGGAGACTATACAATTGAGAATTATATTGGTTTATATAGGGAATTATTCATCCTTTAACATTAATTATTAACCACTATTAAATACTTCTCTAGTTTTCTTTGTAGATTTTATGGAAGCCTCCATTTAAGATACTTTGGCAACCTAGAATTAGGAATGCGGTAACCACTAATCTTGAAAATTAAAGATTAAATTTTAGCCCACATAATCAATAAAATTAAAGTTCAAACTTAACAAATCTCTTTATTTTTGCCTCTTCTACCGCAACTAGGGCTGTCAAAAAATCTCGTTCTTCGCGGACAACTTGCGTTCAATTCGTTGAGTAACCAATGTTCAAATTATTCGTTAAGTAAGCCGAATACGAATAAATTTTTAAGATTGAATTATAAATGTGTTGAACAAGAATAAGCTTTTATTTATTATAGTTCGGCTCGTTTTAGCTCAAAATAAGAAAATTATTTTGAAAGATCCCGTAAATAATGATGATTATATTTCATATTTGTTATAACTCTATATTTAGAGGGTTATAAATTATATGGGAGATCATAGGAATCTCTATTTATTTATTTCTTAATTAGAGAAGATTAGCTGTCTCTTATATTTGTTATTATTTCTTTCCTTGCCTACTGTATTTTGTTTTTATTGCTTTCCTTACCTGTAAGTCCTATAATGGACATTTATAACCCTCTTTGCATCAATAATAATAAGCCCTCTAATATTTTTCCACAGTTTTTATGGTATCAGAGCGTGGTTGAATATTTAGGAGTTGTTCGATCCTAAGCAA